ATTGTTGTTCTTGCTTTGTTCAAGTTTGTTAATGGGAAGAACTGCATGAAGAATTTGTGATTTATCAAAATGAAATCTTATCTATAATGGAGTTATACTCTACCACAGTGCCCAAGTTTTATACTTATATCAATTTCTGTAAATGAACTGATCATATTCAAATGCACTCAGTAAATTGATTGATAGAAATGAAGATAGACATTTAAGAAAGTTGAAGACTACCTTGATATCAGAATAGGATTTTTTGATCATTTGTTGTGTTGCTTTTTTGTGGAAAATAAGGCTTCAAGCTTTGAAGTTTCACTTGCAGTGGTGTCGTTGCTTTCCTTTTTTAAGCAGAGTAGGACTGCTAACTTCACAGTCAACCTCCTCTGTTTAACGGGCTTACTACCCCTGCTAAGTAAGGCTTGGGACAGTGTCTGCCAAGAATCGATTATGAACTTTCCGCCTGATTACATCGTCTAGCCGTAATTATTTGAATTATTGCAGTTTATTTAGCGAAGTACAGTAATTTATTTGATTACTACTACTTCTAATCTATTCACTTCTCACATTAAACATACGCACTCACTGATTTAAGTTATATGTGATTACTATTATTATTCCCTTGGGTTCCGCTTCAACAACACATCTCCACTTTCTTCTATTTTCTGCTGTCCTCTTCGTCTGGCTCCACGATTGCCCAAACTCTCCCATTTCCTCCTCGCACGATCTTCTCCATGTAACCCACGTACCGACGACACACCCATCGCTTCCCATTTGGATACAACTCGAGCGATGGCCTGTCGGGCGATGTCATCCGACGGCTTTGTCAACGAATGCTCAATCCATCTCCACTTTCTGCTACATATTTATTGAAAAATCGGCTCTTGGTTGGTTTGTTCCACTGCAAAGTCTCTTATTGCTAATTCTTTCTGGCCAGCCGGCATTTGATCTTCAGTATGGATCAAGCTAAGGCGGCAGCTATTGATAATAGTCTGTAACTTGCTGGAAATTCTTTTTCATGACACGCCAATCTTCTGACCCATATAGAGGGATTAACTGACTTCACATTTGCGTTGAAAATTCGAATCTTGTTCTTGATGCTAGTTTAGTTAGTGCAGAAGATTTACAAACTGGTTTCTTGTTGATGAAGGCGTATCTTGCCTTTCCGATTCAAACTGGCTTTGACATCTTCATCTGTTCCGGTGACATGTGGTTGAAGCCATGCTTCCTAGCCAGATAAGTGAAGGAAGTAACCTCTGGTAGACTTCTTCCATTGATGGTGATTGGTGCTGGTTGTTGTTGCTGTTGATGGTGGTGGTGGTGGTTGATTATCTTCATCACCTCCATCTTTGCTATGTTCACCTGGAGTCTTGTCTTCGCTGCTTCTTCAGTCAGTTTGTTGGTTTAATTTGTGGATGGTGAATAGCAGTGGAATCCAGGATGCAGAGTCTCTTACAAGAGGTGGCTCTCGTGGCCCAAATGGTCTAGTGGATAGCGCTTTGACGTTTGAAACTGAGAGCACTGGATTCGAGCCTCGGTGGGAACATCATCATTCACTGGGAAATGCAGGTACATCCAGCTGAAGAGTCCCAAATAGGACCAAATGCGCATCCTGGATTCCACTGCTAGTCACCATCCACAAATTAAATTCTAATTAAATGCCCAGACATCGTCGAAACATATGCACAAGAAGCTGACATGTCAACCTGAGACCGAGCACTTCGGTCCAATCAATCGACGGGAAAATCTAAAATTCAATTAAAGTTTGTTGGTTAGTCCAACAGAAGTACTGATAATCGTAGATTAAATGAGATATTTAGTTTTAGTTGAATTTGAAATTCTATTCAAAGTGTAATGTCGAATTTATTGATTATTTAACTAATGAATTCTGGAATCCCACTAACCAGCACAGAGTTTCCATGTATTAAGCAGCCATAATTATCGTGTTCAAGGCAGACGATATAATTCACTCTGGTAAGTAGAAGTAGATGTAGAGGGACTAAAATCAGAAATCCATGGGATTAGAATCAAATGAATCAGTTCCCCAAAATTATTGAATACAATACGTCTTGTTTTCTTAGATAGCCCATTGTCAGTTAATCAGGAATTTACATATAGCAATAATATATAATTTCGATGTTTGAATCTTTTCATATCAATCTATTTTCATTGGTCATTATATTTCCCTTGGTGAACCTGACACGATATAATTTAGCTTCGAAACTACTGAAGATTCTTAGGTTAGTATGCATAAACTGTCAGGTTCCTTTTGGTCTTTCAAACAAATTCTTTTAGTTGAACTTGTTTGTTTGATAATTAATTGCCCAATCGATAGCTGCTGCCTTGGCATAGTGACAGGGCCTGCATGTTGCAAGGATGCAACGAACTACACTGGCTGGAACTAATGTTCCTGCTGGTCCTACTGCAACGGAAGGAGTCAAAAGACTTGTTAACGGACTTTTTCACAGAGGAAAAATACACCATAGTTATAGACTTTTAGCTATATTAAACGTCTGCTAGGTCAGCGGTCGTCGATTTCCCGAAGGTTAAACCTTGACACAAAGAGTTGTCCAATGAGATTATTTCCTGACCACAAAGTAGACTAAATCCAGGCTTGAGGAATAAACATTTCTGTCTCTGCAGTCATTGACTTAAAATGTTGTTTCCACTTTAAGCCGTTTCCTATCAATCTGCATCTATATACTACTGATATATCTTGTCAGTAGCACACACCACACTACCATGTCAGAAAGGTGGTTTGGATAGCAGTTAGACTAAAAACAGTTATCTTTGTAGTATAATTCGTTTACACTACGTTGGAGGTCTGATTAGACACACATGCTATCGGTTACTTTCTACTGACAATTCAGCAGAAGACGAGAGAATTCGCTAACGGAATTATTTATTTGCAACTCTATACACAAATATAAGCAGAACACATCTACCATATAGTAGAATCACAATTTGCATTCATATCTTCGGTATTGTGCTGCTTTGCCTTCCTTTCATATTTCCCATGTTGTCTCTCAAGCATAGTTAGTTAAGCCCATCTCTCCGTCATATATATGTGCATCTATACACTACTTATAAATCTTTTCAGTAGTACACTGCTAGAGCAGGTCAGTAGTGAGTTCAAATAGCAGGTTCAAATCCCTGAGGGGACTGTAGTACCTTTGAGATTACAGATATATCTTAGTACCAAGGAGTACAAAGTCTAGGTTCGGGGATTCCTGTTGAATGACTCCAACCGTCAAACATCATGTCTTTCTACTCATTACTAATTATATATAATTAGTAGTATATAATAATTTCATGTGCAAACACATAAACTCAACTCGTAATATCAACAAAAAGCCAGCATCAAAGACCACAAGAAAATTCACTCTACCGTAAATATAAAGAATATCTCTGATATAGCGGCTAGAATATTAAGACCATTTGAAATAAACATAGCACACAAACCAGCCAACACAATCACTTCATTCGATATTGTGCGAATCAAAAGATCCAACAGAAAAAGAAGATAAGATCAGTACTATTTACAAAATAGATTGCATGGGCTGAGATAAACAACACTACATCGGTCAAAGTGGGCCTTCCTCTTCGAATCGGAATGCAAGACCATAAATTAGTTATGAAAATGAACGTTCAAATTCCAAGTCAATAAAAATGATCAATGGAGACGTAAATTAACAACCAGTCACCACAGTAATTGCCTGGAGATTTAACTACATCATTCATGGAGAATTTGAATGACTTCATTTTACACTAAAACTTGCACTGAAGATGTTGTCTAGAAGGACAATGAAAGCTCAGAGAACACAAGTAGTTCAAAATCATCCACCTGACTCACCAATTTTTCCTAATATATATATGTTGTGTGTACTCTGATTGGATTTAGTAACTAGTGTGATATGTCTAGTCCTTTCTGTGGTGCAGACTGAATTCTATCAGTCAGGTTTGCAATGTGGCCACCATTCTAGGTAGCTCGCTATCAGTCTGCACCAAAGAAAGGACTAGACACGTCACACTAGTTATTAGTGTTCGATCAAAGCACCCACTACAGTCCTACATGAGATCAATCGCGAGCCTGAATAGCTCAACCGTAATGTCTCTGACTGCAGCCCCACAGGGTGACACGGGTTCGAATCTCAGAAGGGAAATAAGTTCCTTCAAGGTGGTTGCAGATACGCCTTGCTGACTGACTGGTGAGTCCCAACAAGCACGAAACCTAGGTCAAGCAAGGCTTCCCTGAGGCCGATTGCCTCCAACTATCTAATATCATCAAATCAATATGTTGTGTGTGTGTGTGTGTGTCATTTCTATAGACTTCTAAATGAGGTGTACTTACTTCGCTAATGATCATTTCACAAAGCCAAACAATAAGAATTTTTGAAGACCTATCCGAAGTGTCTAATCTAAAATAACATTGAGAAGAATAACAACTAATCGATGTCCTTTTTATTATTATTATTGTCAAAACATCTGCTACTCATTTCACAATATCAATCTTAGATGACATAGTGAGAGAATATAAAGGTGTCACGAACACCCGCATTCATCTATGCTACATTTCCTTTTCTTTAGAAGAAAAGAAGAAGAACTTCTCATGGGATCATTTATTTATTTTCATCCGAAAGACATACAGTATATGTATCTGTGTATGCATGTATGTGTGTGTGTGTGTGGGGGGGGAGTTAATATTATTATTATTACTCAAATAAGGATATAGAAAGACAATCTGGGTTGATTCGATGGTCGGTTGGCTGGGTTTTTTTTGTTTAGTTGGTTGGTTGGTCTATGTATATGTATATACACCCAATACAAAATCAAATAGCTATATAGAGAAAAACCATAACAAATAAGATAAAAGTACAAAAAGTCGAGATAAAAACAAGCGATTGTAAGTGTGTGTAGGAGAGAAACAGAGAAAACGGCAGAGGGGGAGGGGCGCATCTCACTGGTGATGATGATGATAGGAAAAGTCAGAGCAAACAGGAGGAAAAGAAATGTCTTTGTGTTTGTTTGTGTGTGTGTGAATGTGTGTACAAACTGAATCCTAGATGTGAATAGAAACTTCATGGTTCCCAAGGAAGGAATACAGGGGGGTCGAGGAGGAGGAGAAGTCATTGTCCTCCGTCTGTCTACGTCCACGTCTCTCTCTCTCTTTCTCTCTCTCCCTTTTGATTGACGGTATAAAAATCGGTAGGATAAGTAAGGCTTTCTGTTGTAAAATGAATGCTACAACTTTAAAATAAAAGCATACGTGTTGTCAATTTCTTTCTTTTTCTTTTTTTCATCCAATTACATAATCTTTTATGATGATGATGTTATGAGTGTGAATTACGCAATGGATTACTATTGTTGATAACAAATTTATGCATTTTAATAATATCTGATCTAACTGGTGATCCTCTACCATCTGACCAACCAGTAATATATTTTAATATATCTGATAAGGATATAATTCCTTCAACTTTATTCATAGTATCTACAACAACAAGTCGATGAACCTGTGAGATAATGAGAAAACAAAAAGAAAGAAAGAAAACAAAAAGAAAATAATAATCATTTAATAACTAAATATACATGTTCTAATTAGGTAGATGGTGACTAGCAGTGATATCCACAGAATGTGCATTTCGTCCTATTCCAGACTCATCAACTGGATGTACCTGCAATCTCCAGTGAGTGAAGGATGGTGTTCCCAGGGGGATTCGAATCCAACACCCACCGTTTCAAACACCACAGCATTATCCATCAAGCCGATTAGGCGACAACTTCTACTCACCACCATCCACCATATAACATAATTTTCTATAGTTTGGTTTGTAAGGGTTAGTTATGTTTTTACGAGTTGATCACGGATTGATATCAGTTAGAGAACCATTGAAAACCAAGGAGTACTGGACAGCTGTTTCATCAGCCTAGTTTGGGAGTCATCGGTTGCACGCACACACTGGGGTTCGAACCCAGGACCTTCCGGTTACAAGGCGAACTGGCTCGTATACCATTCAGGCACTGGGACCCGATTCAATGGCCACCGGATGAATTCTAACTTCTACCAATTCGTGATGCATTCAGCGTGACCACCAACCAATGTCGTTGGTAGGACATCCATCCACACATGTGACATCTAACTGGACCTCACTGGTCATGACTTCTCACTAGAACTCCAGGTAACTCCGTTCTGTAGCAAGTCACTAGCGAGCATCAGACTAATCTTCAATAGTTGGTTTGTAAGGATTAGTTATGTTTTTACGAGTTTGATCACGGATTTACATGTTTAATCAAATCAAATTTTTATTGGCGATCTGAAACAAACAAGAATGAAGTCTGCAATCTGTCAGACAGACTTCTATTCCAGGTTGGTCACTTGTGATTGTGTTTCAATGATGCATCTCAAATATTATTATCGATGGTAAAATAATAAGGTACATTTACAGAATAGGAACCTTGAAGGAGATTTATCTGAACTTCAAAAGCTTCTACTCTATAAGTTACAAAAAGGGATTATTGAGAACATTGTTTGATGGTGTAAGAAAGTTTTGCTCAAAGAAAAACGTCGAGGAAAAGCTGTCCCAGTGGGTGCGTACTGCCGACGATTCCCAAACTAGGATGAAACAGCTGTCCAGTACTCCAGTTCTGGTTTTCAATGGTTCTCTAACTGATATCAATCCGTCATCAACTCGTGAAAAGCTATCCATTGTGAAAAAAAAATGTTTGGGTGATAATGGGATTATCCACAGAAGTTCATCAACAAATGTAGTGGAAAATGTAGTGTTGACAGTAGAGAAAAAGTCCATCTTTCTATAGCTTGCCTTCTGAGGTAATGATACTGCTAGTAGAATAAGAGGCAGACTGAACGCTGCCCAAGCTTGTATATATTTATCAAACGACCAGTTTTTTGAGAGTGTCAAAAGTGGAGGAACTCCCTTTTCATATTACCTTCATTTGTGTGTACCAATTTAAACGTACGTGCCAAAGCACAGAGAAGGGTTACTGTACGCATTTCGGAACATATACCAAAGAACCTGAGACTAAAGAGCTCAGAGGCAATAAACAGTGCAATTGTGTACCATCTGTTGGACACTGATCATTTTGTGGACTATCTAAAGATGTTCAAAATAATCAACAGGCAAAAGAAACCACCTAGCTTGCTACATTTTGCTGAGGCTATCACCGTCAAACGATTAAAAGCAAATCTATGTACTCAGAAAAAGACAGTGGTGAATCTTGTACTGCTTTGGTGATGACAAAGTATACAAAGTTTATTATTTCATCTTCTGTTTTGGTTAGAAAAGTTTATTTTTCATCTAAACATGACTCACCCTGCCCCCCTCCTCTCCTAACTTTGGCTATTTTATAAAAAAAACAACAAATTCTTGACAGTTACGTAACCGATTGCATTGATGTACTCTTTCTAGTTAAACTTTGTTCCTAACCATAAAGCATCTGTTGAACTCTCATGCATATTCATCTAATTATCGCTCTTAATTATTTAACAACTTACATCATTCCTCACTCTTTTTGCGGGATATGATTGCCAAGCCAGACCTTTTTACCGGACTTACTACTGGCTAAGCGAGGTTCAGGTGTGCGTCAATCGGAGATCGAATTCCCGAATCACTTGGGGGGGGGGTGGTTAGTGAGCATTCTGTCGCTGAACTACCACCCCACCTCTGAAATGCATATTAGTACTCATTTTTAAACAACTATGGGCACTGGGTTCAAGCCTCGGTGCGGGGAACATCATCACTCACTCACTCAGTGACTCACTGGGGAATGCAGGTATGTTCAGATAACGAGTCCCAAATAGGACGAAATGCGCGTTATCCTGGTAGATTCCACTGTTTTAATCACCATTATTCACCAGTTAAACAATAATAATAATAAGAGACTATAAACTAAACGAACAGATGAATATGATTTGTAGAGTTAATATTCGTTTCAGATTGTTTTTCATGTCGATAATCTTTAAACCTGTAGGCTCAAATAATTCTAGTCTGTTACTCACCAAAATAGTATTTATTGTTCAATATACTGTTCGTTATGACATTCATTAGACATTCATCTGTCTACTTGTTTATTTCCCATATCTCCTCCTCTCTCTATATGTGACATAATTTTTCTCTAGTCTCTCTATATATTCTTTCTTTCTACCCAACAAATAATGATGTCAGCAGGAAGAAAAAGCAGGTTACAAACTAAAAATGAATATTTAGATGAGACATAGATGGAGTGTGTTTGTGTGTTGTGTATGTGTGTGTGTGTGTGGGTGCACACATGTTTTTGGTCTAATTTTGGTCTAATAGCCCGAATAGTATGATTTTCATATATTTTGTTGAATCATTCATGCCTTTGTGCCTTTGTGGATGTTGTTGTATATAGTCAGGGAAATGGAGAGGTGAATTTTCAGTTTTATGATGGAAGGCTTAAAAATTAATCACATGATGAGTCATCGTTTCACCTTGAAATTACAATTAAAAATCACATGATAGATCATTATTGATTTTTCATTGGTAAAGACAAGCTACGACTGAAAATTTGAAATGTTAGTTTGCATGGATCTCGGATTATTATTATTAGTTAGAGAGTCACTGAAAATCAGCGGGGAGAACTTGGCAGCTGTTTCGTTCTAGTTGAGGACTCTTCAGCAATACTCAAAGAACCCCCCCACCACCACAAGGCGCTGAACCTAGGAACTTCAGTTTTTCCGAGGTGATCCTGTTGACCGTTTTTCAGCTACTGAGACAGAATTCAATGGTCGATGAATGCTAACTTCTGCTAGTTGGCAACATATAGCGCCAGAACTGGCCCATGGCCACCGGCGAGTACTTGTCCTTCAAGTGTTTTGTAGTTTGCAGGGATTTGACTGGTTTCAAGTATGGCTACAGATTGCTAACTGTAATGTTAAGACTAAATGATGAGGGATAACATGAGAGACTAGGCAGCAGTAAGAATTATTTGTAAACACCTTGAAAACAGTAAAGTGGTATCAGTTTACGATGCATCTGTTTTGCTTATCGAGCTGAAGATACTTCACTGAAATGATAACAGGTAACTAGTGCACAAGAAATGATTCTCGTAGTCTAGTGACCTAGTGAATGACATTTTGGCATTTGAAACTATTGATTTGTGGTGAGTGCTGGCTGCTAGCAAAATTGGTAGATGGTAATTTGCGTCAGTGTTTACGTCCTCAATATTGATCGTGAGAAAAATATGAACAAAGACTGATTCAACAACCAATCACAGCAGACTTTGCGTAGGCGGATACAATTAGCATAAATATGTGTGGATTTCCTTAATAAACGATCTTTTGCCTGGCCCTTGTCTTCTGTTGTTATAGGTTCTTATTTCGGGGTTTAGTGAGAACAGCACTCACTGAGAATATATATATATATATATATATATATATATTGATTTGACACTAGTAACTAGTGTGATGCGTCTAGTCCTCTCTTTGGTGCAGACTGAATTCTATCAGTCAGGTTGTAATGTGGCCACCATTCTAGGTAGCTCGCCATCACGGTGTACATTGTTTGTGATGATATTAGATGATTGGAGGCAATCGGCAGGACGCATCACACTAGTTACTAGTGTCAAATCAAAATATCCACTACAGTCCTACAGGAGGTCAATCGCGAGCCCGAATAGCTCAGTGGTAACGTCTCTGACTGCAGCGCTGGGTGACGTGGGTTCGAATCTCAGAAGGGACATGAGTTGCTTCAAGGTTGCAGATACGCCTTGCTGAAGAGTGCCAACTAGCACGAAACCTAGGTCCAAGGCTTCCTGCGGCCGATTGCCTCCAACCATCTAATATATATATATATGATGTGTATATATATATATATATATACATCATAGTGAATGAATTATTGTCATTAACAACATGAATGTTGTTTAAATAACATCGATTCAATAATATTAATAGATTACCGTTCAATAGCATCAACATAACAATAAACTGAATGTCAGAAAAATTAGGAAAGATAATAATAATAATACAAATCCATGAATTTATAGTCTCCACTGAAGGCCGGCCACGGCAGTAGAAATGACTGAACTTCTTTCTTCTGCACACAGAGCACTGGCTGTTCAGTGCGAATCGCGATAGCCTCAGGTGTTTGGAGTATGCGGTCAAAATTGAAGCAAATTAAATCCTTAAATTTAATCAGATGCCATGCTAATGACTGGCTAAAGGATGAATTTGCCTAGAGTTCTAGTCAGCCATTGGGACCAGTGAGGTCAACGACGTTGGGAATGAGGATGAATACTCACTTATGACATTGGTTGGTGGTCAGACTAAAGTAATGAATTGACAGAAGTTCGATTTCACGAGTCACTAGATTTCGGTCCATGTGATTACGATGGCCAACGAGCTTGCCCTCGTAACTTGAAGTTCCTGAATTGGATCCCTAATGATAAGTTACAAACTAGAAGGAAATAGCTGTCCAATACTCCATGATTTTTAATGGTTCTCTGACTAACAAAAACTTGAAATCAATCAAAT